TATGAAGCACAAATGAAATTCTTGTCTGGTCACTTATCTATCAATTTCTTTTCAATTTTTTATGGGTTAACCAATTACATTTTTAATTATTCCCACAAAACAAAATCACCCCCCAAAATGTGATTTTTCCTAAGTCTGATTTCAGCCATTTTTCAAGTGGCAACCCTCAACTTTCTTGGGCACTTAGGACCATTTTTCAACCGTAGGTTTTAGCCCTTCTGCTCTCATATGAAAGCTCAAAGACCCAGGGAGTTGATCCTGGCAACGATTTACACAATCTCAACATTTTGGGGGCCAAACAATCTCCTTTTTCCAAAGATACTGTGGGGGGCACTTTTAATGCTAATGAGCTGGTCAAAAATTCTCACTTGAATTAGTGGTCTGCACCTTTAAGGCCTGCTGTACATGGGTTTTGGCTACCACCACTTCTGGCTACGACTCATAAATAATACATGTACATGTATACGTATTAGAGGGGATGGTGCACATGCAGTGCCTGGCCACGTTTACAAACACTAGGTAATTGTGTGGCACATTTTGCATTTGTACAGTACATACATGTAGTGCTTTCACGAAAAATCACCTAGTGTTTGAAAATGAAACACAGATGATCCTTGCATACTATCAGCTCAAAATTTTTTTAGTGGCTCCAGCATTTCAACTGTTGCTTTTCTGGCTGTTATTCTGATCACCTCTATAGGGACCATTACTTTTTTTGCATCAGGGCACTGATTGTAATCTGTCATGTCTTTGTTACTTGTTATGTGCAGGGCTGCATACGTGAGGGTAACAGCAATTAATTTTACCTTTGCAGTCCCTGACGCGACTTTGCAGTCCACTTGTCTTGTCCGTGTATTCAGTTGTTGTTCACCTGTGGTCCCCGTGTGTGCTTATTTGTTTTCTTTTGTTTCCTTTGTTCATCCTTGTTATTTTGTTTTCATTGATTTATGTTTATGTACACGTACACTGTTTAAAGGAACCAGAAAATGGAAATATTTTTATAACTTTCTCTAAAACCTTGAAATTGCATCTTTTTCTTTCATTTAACCTCATTTTAAATGTTTGATTTGCAATTTTAACCTATATTTTGATGGTTTTATACTAATGTTATTTTCATATTCATAAGCAGAACTATGATGTCATCTAAGGCACTGAATCTCAGTGTTGCACTGATTTGTGCACAGAAAATGTCTCAAGTTTTTTTCACCATGTCCATGGCAGATTTCATTTTCTTTTACAAGTTATTGATTACTACTTGTATGGCCGTCATCCAGCAAATATCCTTTTCATAGAAATGTTGTCAGATAGTAAATTTGGGGTTCACAATTTGAACATGAAAACGTGCAACCTTAACCATGTCTTCCTGGATTTACATCAAAGCAAAAGTGCCCTCACTTGTCCAGAAATGCTTGGCCAATTTTTAATGTTTGAAAAAGTGCACTGTTCAGTTCACGTAACTCAAAAAAGATGTCAAACAGTCTTCATACATGGAAGAAGAGTACAGATATACACAAAAAGTGATTCTAAGAAAAAGTTATTTCCTGGATCTGTTATATTGCTTTAGTCAAGTAATAATGACAACAAACCAGAAGAGATTGAAATGGAAGGCGCTGTTTTTAGCTCAGCATTTATTGTAAAGGATGGATTAAACATCTAACTCACCAGAAGTCACAATTGCATGAATGTCATCAAACAGTTGATCCTGTTGCCTTCTGTGACATCCATACAGCGCCATGGATGACCCATACATATGTGTGCGTGATTTCATCTTTATGTCAAGCTTCAACCGTTTTTCGTATGTATCCAATGTATAATGAAAATGTGTATTTTCCTCATTTCAGGTGATGGCAGCATCTGGGACAAAATTGAATGTAAGGACTTAGAGATTGCCTTTTCTACCTACCCCGAATGTGTTAAAAGTAGAATATAATTTTACTTTCAACTGTACCCTTATGCAAAGACAACATGAAGATTTGCTCATAAGATCAAGGAGGTAAAATTAATGTTCATATGTTGAGAGGGAAAAATCCAAACAGCACATCTCAAGATTTTTTGACTGTCGTAGTAATAAAGCTTGAATTTTACAGTAGTATGTCAAGTTCATTGTTTGTTCATCTGCCAGAAATGGTCATGGAAGTGACAAAGTAACTGAATGAACGTTATTGTAGTTTATTTAAAATAGCGTCTTTTTCAACTGTTTAATATACAAGGCAAGTTTGTGTATGTTGTCTTTTGATTCCTCTTTTTATGTAATGGTTATTTTAACTGAAAAGGTATTGTCATATATGGTTTAGGGAATTTAGCTGGTGTTCACTTGAACTGTATTAAGATGGCAATAATGATGAACATGTATCACAAGGTTTCAAATTGAATTCTTTACAACTTTTAAAGATATGTTTTCTGTATGAAGAATACACTAATTTTCAGTCAGTTTGAAATCTCAGCCAAAAAATGGTCACTGCGACTGCTTGGGTAACTTTACCTGCCCCCTGCTAACAGGAATCTACCCAGTGCTATAAATAGTTAGGAAATCAACATCTATAAGCTTGAATTCTAGTATTTCAAGTCCAGTATGGTTAAATCGATAGATTAGCCTTTACCTTTTTATTGATGTCTTGAAAATTTGTTAAATGGAGATTTCTATGTGTAGCCATAATTTTCAAATTAATTTTACCGGTATACAGGGATGAAAGTATAACTAACTACTAATGCTATTACTTTTACTAGATGTTAGATCATCACAGTAGTTGAGCATGCAAGAATGATGTCCGATTACAAAGACTGTGTCTTTACCAAGGTGAGCAGTAAATTGCTCTCACTTTTCTGCTAGCCGGTTTACTTTGAAAAGCAGGGGAAGGAATTGTTTGTGCTTAGATGTGGAACATTGTGCATGCATTTCAAAACCTGTCTATATCAGCTTGGAAAGTCACTTTTGATAAGCATTGCACATCAATTTTGAACCAAATGTGTCTGTGGTGTTTGGCAAACGAGCCTAATCCATCTGTTCCATTGCAAATTGCGTGAAGAAAAAATATCTAAATACCTAGCTGCCAGGAACTTGACCTGTGCTCTTTAAGTAAAAATTATGTGCTACTTACAAAAATCTTCAGAATGAACCTACTTTTGAAAATTTCTTCAGACTCCCAAGCTTTTGTTATTCCATCAGTTCAGCCAATATGAATTCATACACCAGATGCAACTTGTGTATGCAGTCAAGTGTTGTGCATAGGGTGATACATTTGTCTTGACGTCTTTTGTTGTTGCTAAGCTAATACATAACATACTTTTGGTGGAAAACATGATCTTTGCCAACTAAACTCATTCTTCACTCTCCAGATATGGTAATAGTGCATACATTGTGTCGCTACTGATAAGATACTGGCAATTTTACCTCGCCTGGAATCATGTCACTCTGTGATCACGTGAGATTGTGCTGGCTTTAACACATGGTGTCTCATGAACAGATCTAGGTCCTTAGGTAAGAGTACTACCAGAAAGATATCAGCTTTAGGGTGGGTAGCACCTTTGATGGCAGAAAATCATGGGTGTAGACACAAGGGGGCCTGGAAGGAAGGGCGCGTTGCCCCCCAAAAGAATTCCTATTGCCCCCACCCCCCAAAAAAGATAAAATAAAGTCAATGGGTATTGAACAAGCTAGGTTAACAAAAGCTTGCCCAACAAAACCACACCGCTGACAGCTGGTGCCCCCATGTGCGCCCCATGAAGTCCTAGCTACACCACTGCAGAGAAGGCACGTAATTTCTTTGTGCTATTATAGGGCTCAGCAGAATCTATATCAAACGTCACTTCTGTGATGCTCATTTAATTCTAGGATTTTAATAAACATGTACTTGGGGGCTGTTCAAATTTTTCAGAATTTTCACGGTCGTACAAAGCGTGTATACGGAGGGGGGGTGTGTGGGCTGTATACGACTTGTTGGATCCGGTAAGATGTTGATATCTCAGAAGTATTCTCATTCAAATGTAAAATGTGAAATTCAAGAAAAAAACAAGAATTTACGTAATCACCGGTTGCGCACTGAAAGCTGGTTCCGATGGAGAGTCAAATCCGAAAGGTTCACATGCATCAAGCCCACAGCCGCCGCCACCCGCGCCACCTTAAGCGCGACCCGACCCGCCGCCGCCAAGTGGCCCAACCATGGAGTCTGTACGTACAATGCAAGTACATGTGGTGTACGTACACGAGCCCAGCTTATCACACGTCTCTCAGCTCAGCTTAGTAAATACAGCATGACACGCCATTACTTCGATTTTATTTCGACAATTCAGTCCCACAATCGGGGATTTCAGAGACGACGCGTCAAACGGCGACGATGTAGAGTATTGGGAATATGGCCAACTACAATGTATGTAACGTTTGACATCGTGACACATCGTTCACACGTGTATCAATGTTTAACAACGTAATTTATTAAGGGTTGATATGATTTATTTATTGCCAAATATGATTGGAGTATAATTTTCTACCTGTAGTAACTTTACATTAGTCTTCAGCCATTTCAATAAAACTTGAAATTTTTTAGGAACCCATTTTCACATACACTTTTCTTTGCGTCAAAAGACTATCATCTCTCCATGGTGAAATTG